TAAAGCAAAATCGTTCATTAAAAATAATAAAAAAGAAAAGAAGATATCAACAGTATAAGAGATGATATGATATTTGTAATTAACTATTTATAATCCGTAATATATAAATATTGTTAAATCCTCCTCTAAAAGTAAACTATCCAGTCTCTGTTATCAAAGAAGGTTGAATCTGTACAGATGTTTGCACTGTGGGAAAACGAATCACAGCTCCCAGTGTTTCAATAGACCCGAAAATGTACACCTCGAAGTCGGAATTTTGATTTTGTTTATCTGATACTTTCTGCGAATTTAAGAATTTTTAAATTAAAAATTCAGATATTTAGAAGCTTTGTGTTGCGTTGGAACTTCATTCTCTACTGGCTTCTACATTAAGGTATTATTTACCAGTCCATCATAATAGAGCTCTAGAGTCTCTCAATAGCATTCGCAAAGTCATCCAAATGGATCAAAATACAATTTCCTAAGAGTGACAAAGTAAAAGAATATAATGCATAGAATGAGATATCGATATTGTTACTTTCCGTCCTGCGTTTGCGGGAAAGTGAAAGTTGGTTATACTTATTTTAGGATGCAATTTAACGCAAGTGTTTTTTTTTAAATAAACATAGATATAACGCACATATATTTACAGAATAATAGTTAAAACTTAAATTTATCAGGATCAAGTAGAACTCCTGATCTTAACACTCCGTCGGGTGCAATATAAACACGTTCGGGCGCATTAAGCCTGAGAGGCACCCCTTGATTTACTAAACGTTTTCCACAAAAAGTGTTTTCTTACAAAAATCAGATGCTAGCCATTATTATTAAAATTCCACAAGTTATAAAAATACTTAAGGGGCAATAAAACAATTTTTATAGTCTTAAAAGGAAACGTATATTTATGTTAAACAAATTTTGCAAAATAACTTTTATAAAGTTGTTATACAAGACTAATTATAAATTTAAATTTAATTAAAACTAGAATATAAGTATAATTTCTCATTCATGTGATTCATTAGGAGATATCTGTCCTTCTACGTCTCTCTTATAGCACGGAGGACACATGAAAACTGTATATGAGAGGCAGGTTACTGTGTTATACTTTTTGAAATACATATTAAGTTGTTATTCTTGGCTGGGAGCGTATCTCTTTAATTTTTGTTGTAAGTATACTGACATCCCAACAGACTTCAGACTTCGTTGAGCAAGTTGTCCAATCACAAGTTCATTAAACAATTGTTTTATGAATAACCTTCTTTTAAGAGCTATCATTACCTACATGGATGATCTGAGAAGTCATTAAAAGGTTGAACATTGTAAAAAAGATCACAATGGACACTGTTTTATATTCCAAGACACATTATATGAACCGCACATTTTATCTACAATATCTACTCCTAATTTGGTTTCATCATAGAAATTTATTATTTCTGGTTTCTGTTTTTCGCAGTAGAAAGATCAATAGCCTGGTCATCATGCAGTGATGATATAAGAAGGAATTTTGCTTTTTTCTTGGAACGTAAGACACCAAAACGTTACCATTACTACTGAAGTCAAAATTACTGGAGTATTGTGGTCTGGCTTTGCCCCAAATTAAAAGTCAGTATTTTCTTCAATGTCGTCTTCTTCGCTTCCCTATTGTTCTGTCCTTGATCACTCTTCCTCACACCCCTACGTTCCACTACGTACTACTACGTTCCTCTACACCATCTTCTGAATCACTATAGCTTTCGATATCGAAGTCTTCAGCTTTGACATCCTAATCTTTTCATCTGATGCCTCCAATAAACGGTGAATTTCTTCAAGGTCTTGAGAGTTTCCCAAATCAAACATTGTTTTTGACATTTTGAAGACTGAATCAAACAAATATTTATAATGACATTGTGAAAATGTCTGTCGAATTTTGTAATAAGCAGTATTTTAAATTATTAAAACATTTTGCAATTCATGACATGATCATGCGCAATGTGCTTGAAAGGCCAGAGCTCAAAAACATACTCAATTTTGTAGATAATCATAAAATATTTTATTATATGAAAGTGCTAAAAAAATGTGATACAATATTTTAAAAATCATAGAAAACTTATTTTTCAAATTGCAACGTAATCGTGCGCAATGAACCTATTAGATCACTTCATCAAGTGGAAATGAAGAAATGCCAGTGACACTGACTGCCAGTGGCACTAGAAGATGAGAAGCTAACTGGATAAAGAACGATTGACGATGTTTGAATGAGGCAGGGCAAACAAAAGTGCTCGAGGTGGGCCTAGCAGTTCAAATGCACCTGACGAACTGTTAAAAGTTTGATAGTATGAGGAATGTTGAACAAATGCGATCTAGAATAAGGCGATTCTTTAATAGAATGAAAACAGGATATATAAAATTTACTAATGCGGATTTATGGTGAATAGTTCTGGGTCTTATGATCGTATTTTCGACACTGGTAACAGAGTCGAAATTAATTGCACTTCATTTTGGTGAAGAAATTATGTGCTATAGTAAGATGTGATTCGGAAGAGTTTTGGGCTTTTAATTCGGTGTGTATCTGTGAATTCCTCACGTACCAAGGAGCGATAACTATGGTGCGAAGAATTGCATTTTAAAAAACTTCTATTTGTCAGTGAATTGTCAAAAATATTCCTCCATAATGATAATTCACACTCAAAACAGCAGTCGTAAAAACAAGACAGAAATTTCAGATGATTAAAATTAAGGACCTTCTGTCCAAAAAACCTAAGGACTTTAAGGACCCGTACGAGCCCCTTTTAAAGACGCTTTTATTGAAGTCTAAAATTTACAAATGACCCAGCTTGGGTTACTAGAAGCCAGCACTTCTGGTTTAACAGAAATGCGTGACGAATAATAATCTCAAGGTGTGGTAGATTATCCTAACGGCTCACACGCAGGAAGAGCTCTGGTTTGTAGTAAGCCGGCGAGACAAGCCTAATTGCTAGAACATTCAACGCCGCCAACGCAAGTCGCTCATAATCACAGCACAATGTGGCCTGTAACATGCAGACATGCTATAAAAATTAACTTCCAAAACTCTTGCTTAAATAGACCTTCATTTTACCTTAATCTGAATAAACCCTCGGTACCTCTTTTACATTCTGGCTAGAAAAGCGTCGGTGAAAATAAAGTAATGGGAAAGGCTTTTCAACTTAAAATGAATAGATAAACCTCGCACACTGTTTAATCGAGAGTGGACTGTAATTCTTCTTAAACACTTCGAAAGTATATATTGGCCTAATAAAAATATATTTTTCATGTCCTGCCATATTTGCATGCAGCATGACAACCAGTCTTAATCTGATGTGCTTATTTACCAAGCATCCGTCACTATGGATTATTTTTGATTTTCGCTGTAGCTACTCGAATAAGAATCCTGTCTCCCCGCCTTTTAATTCAATAAGTTTTCCAAGTTTTATGAAGTTTTATTTAATGTATTATCGTTTGTCTAATGCAGTTATTTACAATCACATTTTTATTTTAAAAAATGTTATAGGAATTTTGTTATACCTTGTATTGACATTTTCGTGCCACATAGTTTTTCGCTTATTGTTCGCCTAAACATAGTTTCTCGAAACACAGCCTGACAAAACTTGTAAGTTTTTTATGATGTTTGATAAACTGCTCAGAAAAGTACCGAATTTTAAAGCTATGTTTTTTTTTTTTTTCTGAAAGTTTTATCCAATTGTTTTAAACAAGTTATCAGTATGTTTTTCTTTTATCGTTAAACATTTTGTTTTCAAATATTTAGCTTTAATTTTTTTTCTTTTATCGTTAAACATTTTGTTTTCAAATATTTAGCTTTAAATTTTCAACCAATATATATTTGTTTGATTACTGCGATAAATAGATTAAAAAGTGTCTGCAGAACACAAGTTACTAGTTCTAAAAACAGAAGCCTACTGACTAAATATCCTATAATCTACTAGTACGTGCTGAAAGTAATTTATCCAGAATTAGTTTGTAGTAGCTGGCTTATTAAGGTTTTGGAACCCTTCAGTTTGGAAGATTCTGGTCCGTCTATTGCAGTGCTTAAGAAGAGATAGTTTTTAAACCCTTTTCCTAAACACTACAGCTCACCAGTCTGTATAAAGTCAATGATTATATTAAGAAAATATATAAGGTATTCACACTGTGAGATTATAAAAGAACACACAAGTGACTTGCATGTACTGCAGAGTAAATTCCAACATTTGTGAGAATATCACGAAATAAATCTCTATGCAAGAACAAATTAGTTTAAAAGAAGGTGGACTTCATTCGTTTCATATTATTTTTAAAATAAATTTCTAAATTTTCACAAAATTTAGAATTTTGTGTACACAATAAAGCAAAACTTCGGGGTAGCACAAAAAATTCGCTAACAGGCAAATGCATATATAAAGTCTGGCCTACTTGAGTAGCATAAAAGTTAGGTCAGAACTCTAAAAAGCAATTGAGTTAACACTATGTCTTTTAAATGCCACAGAGACAGGGAAAGGGTGTAAAGGACGCTTTATTAATCCAAATAAAGATTAATTGTCGACACAAACTCATACATACAGAAGCCAACAGCTTTGGCTTAAATTGGGGATAATGAATAAACTAAAATTAATTAAATTAAGTATTGCCTAACGGCTTCACAGTATAATTTGCGCGCAGGTTGGCACTGACCGAAGTCGGCGTAAACAAGCCGAATGGCAAGAGTAACTCAACGCCGCAGTATACTGAACGCTAGACAATCAAAGTTAATAACGTGGCCTTCAAGCAGATAGAACATGCTCTGATTTTAACCTCTAAAACCTTCCTTTAAATACTCTGTACCTCATTTGAATACATAAAATGAAATGAAGTAAGATGTATAAGATGACATTAACAAAAAGAATATTAACATAAAATAACGGGTAACCTTAAATGATACTTTACACGCATAACACACATATACTATGCATACGTTAGACGGTTTTGCCTAATTTATAATTTTATGCCGTGATACTTATTTACTTTCATCTCATTTTTTTTTCGCTTAGGAGTCGAACCTCATGATGAAGCCTATAAGTGTTATCTGCATGCTCCACATGAAGTAAGTGCACATTATTTCTGTTGCTAGCTTTTTTATAATGTATATATATTATTTTCTAAATGTGTTTAATAAATCTTTACAAATTCCATAATGCTTATACTTCGCCTTTAATTAACGAAAGTGTACTAAACAGCAGAGAAATCCGAAATTCATCATGGGTAGATTTCATAATTTAGCTTTCGATCAGAAATGCTTAATTACACTGACGAATAAATCGAAACGAGCTGCCATATAAAGATGCTTTACGTTAATTAAACTGGATGAAGTTCAGTGAGAGATAGTTGGGTGGTAGCTCAAGGTCAATGTAAAGAATAATTGAACTAGACCGAGACTGCTAGTCAGCGATTATACTGCGCAGGTACATAATAAAAATAAAACTTGTAAAATACTAGGGCACAGCGAGTCAAAGTTTCTGTTTTCAATATGCTTTCAATATTTAGGAAATAACATATCTACGTGAGTGGTAACTTCTCCTACGTGAGTAGTATGCGCGCTTTTGAACGAATAACGACTTTTTGGGGACTTCATATAATCTGCTTCGGTACATCTTGAAATAAAACATAAATTTTCAATGGGATACTATCAAAAACAGAAACAAATATTAATGGAATTACTTTAACGTTACAAGCAAAAACTCTTTATGCTCGAAGCGCGTGGCAAATCTTATGCCATTTCGAAAAAGTAAACAAAAAACGTTATTTATTAAACAGAATCTTGTGGACATCTCCCGCCATTTATTGACTTTATCACGTAACATCTTCGCATCTTGATTTACCATCTTTGAGATAAATCATTAAAGATAAAATGTTCAAAATGTTAAGTCAAATCTCTTCAGAGCCTTGATTACTCTGCCACATTTCGACCCCCGAATAGACGCAGGTACATCACCTTCAACTAGAAGATCATTTGTGACGCTGATGGTGGACGATCACTTAGCGCTGGAGGGATAATCTGAATAAAATCCGATATCTCAATAAACTCAACTCTCAACTGATATCTCGATAAAAATAGAATCATTAGTAAGATGTTTATCTGATAAAATCAGATCCATTTATGAATAAATCAACTTTTTGGTAAATCTTTTGAACTAATGGGACGAGTTGACCAAGTGTAGTTCTGACTTTGACGACTCCCACATCCCTAACTAGATATAGTTCTTCAATCATGGCAAGCGGCCAACCAACCCTCTTCTGGTTTCCAGAAACAGCAAGGATCACTTTTTCACCAATTGACTTAGATATTCCTTATGAAATCTCTGTCTGAATTGTTAACGGAGCTCTTAGCAATAACATTTTCTATTTAATATATTTAACAATTATTTCCGATCTAAGTAATCAAGAAGAGAAGTTCTAATATCTTTCATGACCGATAAAGATGACAGAAAAACTCTGAATCGTTGGAAATGTAAGTTGGCAATTATTTACAATACTTCTGCATCACAATGAATTGTAAGCAGTTCGTCGTAGGTAACAGACGATCTACTGAAAGCTAAGAAAATTTTTACTTTTATAATAAGCAACTCCCACTAACCGCTCCCCATGCTACGTTTGAAGGAATGAACTTCCAGTCAATCAAATTTGAAGTTTCATGCGCAGCCCTATTTTTCCACTCAGTTTTTTGCAATGCATCAGAAACATGGCGAAATTTGTGCCGTTGTCACTGTAGACTAGTGGTGGACAGCCTCGCCAGGTGATGAATCTTATGACAGCCTGTGCAAAGGATTCTGCATTTAAGGATGTCACAGACTGTAAATGTACCGCCCGATATACGGTGCACTACCTAGGCTTTAGTCTTATTTCTAAGAATTAATCAATTACACAGATCATCTCCGATAACTTTGAAAGTTCGGGTATTCAGGACACCCTCTAAAGATAAATGAACACGATATGGTTTGAAGGTGACTTTGCTGTGAATCCCTTATGGGTAATGCATTTTTTTTATTGTCGATTTAACTGTCCGTCCAGCAGAAATAACCCATTATTTCTTTTGTATCACAGACATGAGTACTTGAATACCTGCAAGACATTTATTTGTATGGTTTTTGAAGACTAGATTTTGTATAATATGATGCTTTGTCGGAAGCAAAATTGGGTATCTAAATCTAAATTCTTCATCTCTTCTGAATGTCTTTGATTTTACGTTTTTTAATCAGGCCTCATCTCTGATGACTGAAAGACCATTTATTACATCTCCAATCTAAAATAATCTCTCTCGGTTGACTTATAGACTCAAAGGTATTTTCAGAAGACATTTAACTTGTCTGGAGACAGGAATTTTGCTTTATTTACAAGCATTACGTGATATTTTTTTTAAATCACAGGCTGAAATATTTACAATTGCTGAGGGTTTAGAAAATCGTTCATAATATATAGGAGTTCATAATATATAGTTCATAATAAACTTAGGCTAACGCTGGGAGGATTTATTTATTTATTTTGACTAATAGTTAAATTTTTAATTACAGCAACTTTCCTTTTCACTCTAATTTTCACCCACGCTTTCCTGCCAGAATGTTGATCAGTTAGCGCGCTTTTATTCAAATTAAGGGAGAAAGAAGTGCTATTCAAGCGAAGATTTCGGAAGTTGATTTTAGAGCGTGCTGTTCCTGCTCGTAGGCCACGTTGTAATTTTGACTTACTAGCGATCTGATTCTGTGGCGTTGAGTGCTTCTAGCTATCAGGCTTGATCCGCCGGTTACTACGAGTCAGAGTCTTCCTGTGCGATTAAATTATCCTGTCAGCCGTTAGGCTAGTTTAATTGTATTTTATTTTAAGTTCAACATTTCTTGTTTAAGTTAAGTCAGAAGTGTTCCTTATGTGAACCAAAGTGGGGTCGTCTGTGAAATTATTTGTGATTGAATTAAGGGGCATTTACACCTTCTGATTTTTTGTGTAACCTAAGACCCGAAGATAATTCTTTTGCAGTCTTTCTAGAGCTCGTTGGTTTATGTTGCCAAAGAATACGAAACTCTACGACACTTTCTTTCCGATTTCAGAAAAAAAAAAACAATGACTCGAAAGTTTAATTTCGAGACTAACACAATTGTATTTCTTATCCTTATGTACTTTGGATATTCCCATCAAGAATTCTTTAGAATATGATGAGGAGTACAAGTGCGAGGGGATATATCGGCTGGGTTTAATTGCTTTGGCATTTAAGAGAATTTGCACATTATGTCACATTTTTTAAAAAACCCGATGGACAGATTTTAATGAATTTGGTATGAATATACATTTAGAACAGAGAAAAGATTACCATTCAAAAGCCATTTTATGTACGCATTAAAAATAAATAAATAATTTTAATAAAGCTCATAGTGCAAGGATGTTCAAAATCCATGTTGTAATATCGAACTGAAAATGAGTCTGATATGGGATATGATCTCCTCTCACAGCCACACAGGTCGCGCAATGTGATAGCATACTGGATAGGACGGCTTTCACACACACCACATCATTGAGTCCCTGAGGTAATCGATCCCATTCCTGCAGCAAGGCAATTTTCAGCTCGAATAGTTTACGGAGGGATATGGCAAGATGAAACCGCCCCCCACTAGCATGTCCGATGTGCTCTATAGGGCTACGGTCAGGAGGTGTAACTTACCAACCCATGCGGGAAATATCCTCAGGTAACCGTCGACCACTTCAGCCTTATGTGAAGAGAGTTGCCATGCATTAACAGAAACTCAGGACAATGTCCCTAGAAATAGAACATACTACTCTAAGATCTCTTTATGCTTCATCGCAGTTAGGGAGGCTTTGTCAAACACATGCAGGGATGTGATGCCATTCCACATGATGCCTGCCTAGAGCATTGCATCTTCACTTCATAATGATCCTTTTGTCTCATGAGGGAGGGAGGGTATCAGAATCCATATTTCCGGAGAATCAATGCCCATGCTGAATCTCGACTCATCTGCAAAAAGCACATTGCTCTACTGAAGTCTGTTCGAAGCCGCATGTTGTTTGAACCGTACTAAACTTGTTCTCTTGTCTTCTGCAGTGAACGGAACTTAAGCAGCACATCTTCTGGCTTAAATATCTAACTCATGAAGCCTTTGCGCAACTATAGACTGTTGAACTCGGGTCCTACTCTCAACATACAGCTCATGTGAGATCCGTGAAGCTGTAGCATTCCTGAGTCGCCACGCTCAAAGTGCCAAATAACGAACGTAATTCGCCGTTGTGGATCTTAATCGACCTTACTCAGGTCTTCTAGATATGGATCCAGTGTCCTAAAATTGTTTCCACAAATTACTTACTATACTAAGCGTTGCATTGAGCTCTGTAGCCACCTGCGCTCGTGATTGACCTGCCTCAAATTTACCAACATTTTTTTTTTCTTATTCCGTAATCCATACACTAGTGGCTACTCATTTTACCTTATAAAATTTACTCAAACTTAGTCAGAAACAAACCGAATATCATGAAGAAGTGAGCACCAGTGCATAAATCGTCGAAACACCCTCTCGCGGTTATATATCTTCCACAGTCACACACATACAGCTTACGTATTCAACTCTGAATATTTTCATAATACTTCGGCGACATAACTAACACCTTTGTTTCAATAGCTTTGTCAAAAATAGATATAATTGTCGATTTCTCTTATTTTTCTACAAGTGTGCGCACACAATTTGACACCCAGATGCAATTTTGTACACGAGTGTATAAGAGCATTAGCAAAAAATGCTATTAATTCTTCAAGAAAATTCATGTAAGGAAATAATCTTAAAAAACAACACAGCAACTGAATTTCTACAAAATACATACAGTTTTGTGAATGACAGTAAAAAATGAAAAGGATAAAAACTAAATTATTACTCTTGATTAAAATAGAAGAAAGTTTTTTAATTAGAAGTGGTGAAGTTTTAACTGTTGGCCAATAACCTTTTTCACTTTTCTCAGTTAACCATAATTTCAAATTATTAAGCGCGTTACTCTGGAATTTTGGTTTTGGCGTTCACATATGCAGCCGGCTATTGCACCAGGAAGCCGAAA